TTTATCAATTATGGTTCCTTCAGTATACTTGTGCCATCCAAGATGAAAAGTGATCCCAGGTCCAAGTGGTATCATTCGTGAGTCATGGAAAGGATTGTGAAAGGCAAGGAAGTAGAAGCGGTAGGGAAAGTATCAAGGACCTCTGCGATGGCAAGTATATCATGTTGCGCAGACTTTGCATGAATAGATGAAGCCAGGACTCATAAACGAGTGACAAGCCTTGTTGATCCCCATAGTTTTGTTGTGACCCCATTCTGGCAATCCGACACAAAGGAGGAATCGGTAGAACCTGATTATTACGGAGCCTGGTTAGGTTAATAGACTGACATGGAGCACACGGATAGAAGGCACACGCTACCACCAGGCTTGAAGCTTGAAAGCCGGCCCAGCGCCTGTGATGAAGTCTGGACCATCGAGGCCTAGAGCTCGTCCCCCGGCATTCTGAAACGAATGGCGTCTGTTCATGAAACTTCTCAGTAGTGTTCCAAACTAGTTGGAATTAGGCCTAGTTAATGCCGAGTCTTTCCACCCAGAAGCGTTTTTTTTTTCGTCATATGCGAAGAGATACTGGTCTCTAGCTCCAGAGGTCCGGAAGTTCCATCAAGTAAGCCCTAAATTCAAAACTACATCCATCTAAGCATTCGTCTCAACGCACAAGGTAAGACCTTTTGTATTACGTGTCCCGGAATCACCACTGAGGCCTTGCAGGAGGCTATCGCCACGATGAAAGCTTAAAATCGACATCTCGCCACAGGAATCAGCTCAAATTGGCACGGATGAGCAAAATATCCGAAGAGTTTAAATCAAGGTTTGCCGGATACCAATATTGGCCTTGTATGGCACTTGATACACGTCCTTGAGTGGGGCCTTGCCTCTTTGAAGTACCTTGTGAGCTCATCTTCGCCGGTGGAAAGGGCAGGCGGAAGAACAGGTTCGATATGAAGCTGCAGAACGAAGACGAAACAGCTTCCTAGAGACAACCTTGGAGGCGGTCTCCTGTGAATCGATGTCGTAAGAAGGATGTGGTGTCGCTCCAAGAGGGCCTGGACTCATGTTTGGTTACAGAAGTAGGATCAGGAGCACAATTGTAAGAGACATATCACAGGCCGTGCTCTTGCAGACAGACAGATGCTGGATCTTGTAACCTGTTGTTCTTTCAGCCCCTCAATTTGACCCTAATCGAACTTGACCGGAGTCCACAACGTACGGGACACCTCCATCAGTAAAGGTGAAAAAGTCTGTCAAGGAGACCCAAGAAAGAAATTGTCGAGAAAAAGACCGTAGGGTTTGAAGAAAGTCGATGACCGAGACGATTGTTCACGTGGACATATTATATATTCATCCATGGTCGAGTCACCTGTAAAAAAGTATGCATGAGGAAGATTTTCGGGGCAACATCTTCGTAAAATATATCAAGTGTGTCACTGTCCTCCAGAAAAAAATGTTCCAACAAGAGAAAGTACAGAACAAGTACAACAATAGGTATCAAATCATGCAGTGATGCGGGGAATTGCAGTATTGACGAATTGAATGAAGATTACTGAAGTTGAATAAATGTCATTCGTAAAACGGAAGAACAAGTATACAGTCCTTCCAGTTTTGAAATGGGGTATATATCACAAACTGCCTGTACAGGCATATAAATCGTACGGTAAGAATATGTGAACGTGAAAGGTCATTCAAGGTCTAGATGAAATTTGTCAATCAAAAAGCACACACCAGTCGAGCCGAAGTCGAAAAACTTGCCTCAATATCACCGTTGCGTCGACAGTATTAAAATGTGTCTAATAGAGGATACTGGAAGCCCGCTTCTCAGAGAAGAAAGTCGATAGATCCTCGCCTACGGCACGGAAACAGTCAATAGGAATCAGTCCCTGAGGACGATGTATATTTTTCCCTTGCTTTGCAAGGATTTCTTCGAAATGTGGCAGCCTCTCCACGAGTGCCCAGCCGTCATCAAAAAGACGCAAAACCTTGACGGTGTCTGTGATAGTCACGGTAAGCTCGTCATGACGAGTGCCACTGAATGGACGTCGGATGGGTTCCACTTCCGCGAATTCGGCAGTAGGCGAGACGGGGCCAGAGAAAGGATTGGAAGGGTCGGCAAAGGGATTGGAGGGCAGGGCAGGAACATCTGTTGTTCCACTCTTCGAAGAACGAGCGCCGCTGGGTAGTGTATCGGTACTCATTGGTTGACTTGAACTCGAGTCTCCCGATTGAGTTTTAGGGGGCATAGGAAATGAAAACGATTCTGAGGGCGAAAAAGGTCGAACGGACACCGGCGAAGAAGTGTCCCGGTCATCGCCATTAGGGATGTCTAGATGATGCGGCCCGCTACTACTCGCGACACTGTGGATCGATGTTCGATTGTTTGTAGCAATCACACCTGGAGAATGTGGATTATCGAACGCGATGAGCATAGGAGAGTCGGGGATGGCCGAGTTGGGACTAAAGAGTTGGATATGGTCCCTACCACGAACTTCGGCCATAGGGGGAAGAGCAGGCACATGCTCGGTGGAGAGGCGTAACCTTGGGGTTTCCGCATAATTGATGGTGGTCTCAAAGCTGCTACGGACACTGGCACGGCTCGCGCTCGCCGTGGAATCACTGTCCATGCTAAGGCGAGTTCCAGACCTGTTCCACCACTGGATCCTTCGTCGCGAACGACGTCGGCGGTAGCGTCCTCGTAGAAGGACGACTACGACAGCAATGAGGCCAAGCGTAATAACAATCACCATACCCGCGATGGCACCACCAGACAGGGGACTTCCGGCATTATGAGAACCAGAACTTTCCGTGCTGGTAGCATCATGGGGGCCAGGCAAGGCAGTAGAACCTGCAAAGCCTGTTACGGAGGAAGCTCCTGAAATAAGCGAGTCGGTATTGCCGTCATTAACTATACCGCCTCCTGGGCTATGACTGGCAGTGCCACTAGTTGGACTCGCATTCCCTACAACATTCGCAACAGATCCGTTGAAGTTGTGACCATTGCTTGGAGATGAGCTAGAAGCATTATCGCCGCCGGAAACGTTATTGCCGCTGGAACCACTATCGCTGCTAGAACCACTATCGCTACTGGAACCACTATCGCTGCTGGAATCATTATCGCTGCTGGAGCCGGTGAAACCATTTCCCGACACATTTCCACCAATAGATGTGGAGCCAGACGCGTCAGATGGTTGGGGTACGGACGCTGTGCCACCTCCCGCCCTAACACTTGTGGAACCAGCACCATCGTCAACAACTTGTGTATTCCCATCGGCGGATCCCGAAGTTTGAAAATCGTTCGGACTGGTATTTTCAGCGGGGCCGTTTCCACTGTTGTCGCCCACTGCTGTAGTTGGTGTTGGCACTGGAGGGGTCGTTGGAGCAGGAGTCCAAGTCGTTTCCCGCGCTGGCGTGTGGGTGGGCTTAGATTTCTTGGTCACCGGCTTATTTGTTCCTGCAATGAATGGAGTGATCAAGGGCCCAAGAAGGGGTATTGAAGGCATGGATAGAGGAAGCGTGATCAATGCAGGTGCCCGAGCCTCGAGTAACTCGTCGCGACGGCTGATACGTGCATGATTCCGCTTCCGCCTGACAACGTGCATCTTGATTCGATTTCTCTAGTGAAAGAGAAAAAGTCGAGAAAGCGCGCCTTCAAGTATTGTAAGGAGCGTGAAGGGATAAACGAAAGACTCAAGATGAGAGGAGAGGATGAGAACTATGCGAGAAGCATAGAGCACGAGTGGGAGAACAGTTAGGGGAAGAAGATTGTGTGCGCTGTTTGGCCTTACGTTTCCGCAATTTGCCAAGCGAAATGTCAGGGTCATCATAATGGATAATTGAAAGAGAAGAAGGGAAATTTTTCAAGAAAAAGGAAAGACTTGCCTTAAACAGAAATCAGGGATTGATCACAACGTGCTCCCCTCCGCTCTACGAAATCCCCCCCCCCCTTTTCCAAAATATCCATAATTCTGACCCTGGTCTTCTCTCCACATTTTAGTTCCTTGCGCGGCGCAAATCCTTCTGGTGCTTTACACACTGAATTGCCTTTGTGGCAGCGGAGCAGTAAGTCTGTGTGAAATCATTTATTTCTCTTGTACATGTGGCTCTTCGCTGATCGTGACATGGTGGGATTGTTGATCTGCCTCCAGACTTGGTCAATTGACATGGCATACCACAAGCTTCTGGCGTAGGATTTGCAACTTCTAGTTTCTCCGTCTTAAAAGAAGATCCTTGTGTTGATCATGAGAAGTCGGACGTCAACGATGATATCGAGCTCTCCTATCGAGTATTGTCACTATGGAAGTTGAGCGCACTCAATACTCAGGTCCAGACTGTACCCAGCGTTTCTTATACATGATACGATAACGTAGTCTCCTGTGGACATAAATAGTATGTTCTGTCGCTAACACATTGACAATAGGTTTCGTCCAGAAGGTGGTATCGCGACCGTGACTAGTCTAGATCCTTGAAGAATCGTTTCGTCGACACTAGTGCTGATCATACCAACCGTCGCAGACCGTGTGCATTGTTGCGGCCCGTCCTTGCTCATATTTGATACCATAGATCAGTGCTGCGTTCATCTGGGCTTGTTAGGCCATCGAAATCACTGTCACTTGACCCCACGGAGCCCCACGGTCAGTGAGAACGAAAACAATCAAAAACTATATTTGAGCTGTCTTAGTGACTCTTTTAGGCCTTGATTAACTCTGAGGATGTTCCCTCGCGTGTCTGAGAATTCTCTGATCCTTTCTGGGTGCCCATCTGTGTTGATAACTTGTCTGTAATTTTGTTACGAATCTGTCATACACGACCAGAGCGCCGAACAGATAATTACGTTCTCGATTTATATTTGTCAAGGAAAAGCTGTAGCTCTTCTGTTTTATAATCCTTCCGTTCAAGGTCTTAGCACTCATTCAATGGTACAGATGACATGATGTATACATTCTATTCATGTAACTGAACGGGCAGGGCGAGGCACGGAAGATGGGAATGAAGAACAATAAAAACTATAATTCGGATACGGGGAATCGAACCCCGAGCTGCCGCGTGAATAGAACTTCAATTGAGAGGCGGCAATGTTAGCCATTACACCATATCCGATGTTCGTTTTCCATTTTATTTTGGAATCCGTGAAGCTTACTCTCGACTTGATCAATTAAGACTTCCACGGACTCAATTACTCGCACTTGGACTGATGCATTGTGAGGCCAAACGGACCTCAGCGTGCTCGACATCTGGCACCGCAAACACCCTCTCCTCCTTGAACTCTGAAACCACTACTTAACCTCAAAATCTAGTTAGCGGTTACGTATCACGGAAGGGACCCGAACTCTGCTCACTGTACATCGAGTATTCCTGAGCGACTCTTCACCATTCGTTTGTGACTATCGGCAAAGAGAGTCGAGATGGAGGTCATGTCACTCGCTTCTAGGCGATTCTAGTCCATTGCTGAAGTCTTGCATGTATATTGATTGAACCAAACTTTGATGGTCTCATGGAATGCATACTCATGTGATATCTCATAAACGATCATTACGACTGCTCCAATGCAAGCTGGAACCATACCTTGACGTCGATTTATCTACCTTTCCTTAACAGGACGAACGTTTCATCTCACGATCTCTGGGTACATCCAATTTCAGTTATCGCGACATGGAACAGGTCTATATCTCTGGTATATTGCTATTATTACAAGCCGTACTGTATTGATGTATATCGCTCTTTCACGCTAGCAAGTGATTTCATAGGCTATTTGTTTACATAGATGATACACAACACGAATGATTATACAGGTATGTAAGGCAGGAAATTCAAGTACACTATGGTTGGTTTATGGTCTGGAGAAGTGAAAGTAATGGACGAGACAAGAGCAGACGATGAAGGACGTATGCAAACAACGAATCGAAATGAATGAGGCAAGTGTGTACAAGCAATGTTTACTGAGATAGCAATGCAAGCAGCACAAGGGTAAGTCCTATGAAGTTCAGAAGCCTCACCAAAGCCTCCTTGACATCTGTCGTAAACACCGATGACGACAGAACACCAGTAAACTCGGTCTCTGGGTACGTTTCATCGTCTGTGTTAAAAAGTTTGTATGTTAAGTCGGGCCGGTTCTTTGGAGGAAGTGATGATACGGCGTAGTTAATCTGCGCGTGCTGAAACAACGCGCGGGCCATGGAAAGAAGACGGTCGAGCCTGAAACCGAGGAATAGAGTGGCGGGAGATGGAGACTTGGATTGAGAAGGAACTGGAGCGGCGGACAGAGGCTTCAAGTCACAATGAAGCAGACATGACGGGCAGCGATGGACATTTGTCTCACAGATCCACTGTATATGTCCAATTAGGCCAGAGATACATAATATGAATAAGGAATATAAGTGAGCGGACGTACGTCAGATATTTGTTCCAGACACACTATAGACTTGCAACATGATGTACGATATCGTATAACCGATATTTCAAAGCTGCTTCTGGATCAGTGTACAGATCTAAGGGGATACTGCGCCAACGGACCAATTTGTAAGCTTGACCCGTTGTGCTTCTGTCGTCTGAGCCTTGCGTTTAAGAATTGAAGGCAAGGGTTTCGACGTGCGATGCGGGCTTCGACGTGGAATTGACCCCGTCATCGCACTTGAGTCGACATCAGAGCTTGGAGTAAACTTCGAAGCAGACGCTTGCTTATCCATAGAGTCATCTGCAGAGACGATATTCTCGAAGTGGGGCGACTCAGGTAGCGACATTGCAAGGTAGGTAGGCTGGAGGGAGGGTATGAACGCCTCCAGCGCACAATCCTTGCTTATAACCATGTATTGGATACCCCTTTTGGATGGGGAAATAAGGTATGTGGAGATGGATAAGCTGTTTTACCGTCAAATGAGCAGGAGCTCATCCTATGATGACAATGGTGTCAAGATGCCGATTGCGATGGATATGGGAATCTAGGATTGATTGGATGTTAAAATGTTCCGATAAAAATGAACCTACGAGGTGCGTAAAATACATACGTGATTGAGCCTCTGTTGAATCACCAGAAAAGGGTTACCCGAACAATGCTGAACAAGAGATATGTAGACAAGACAGGACACAGGATGGAAAACGTCAGGAACCGCTTTTGTCGCTCTTGCGGTGAGGAACCTGTGACTTAATCAGGGACCTGTAACTGATCATAAACAGCAGTTGTTGGCTCCGGGACATCCAGGTATAAGTGTACTTGACGAACCGAAGAAAAAGAGTCAAAATTTTGAAACAAGCCGGAAATCCCTGAAATGGAAAAGGGAGACTTTGGCCATAGGGAAGTATTAGATAATATGAATATATTCGATGTTATCTATCATGTAAGCAATCTTGCTTCCATCCATTGCGGGTTTCATATCACGGTAAATCTATACGAACCGTCGCAAGCGCTCTGAAAAATCTACGGCTCACTTGAAACAAGTTTGCGACGTGGCCAAATTTTCTTCTATCCATGTTGTATACAGGGATACAATCGTTGTATATCCTCCTGGACATCAAGGAACAATGTGTACGAGGCTTTAACTAGGCCTCACTAAGACGGGACAGCCAAACGATGGAACCCCGCTAGATTCTGGGAGCGAAAAGATGGTCGACGTACGTATCAGATAGGTCAAGGATGAAATCCCCGCAAAAGGAAGTGATCTCGCCAGATAAGCAACGGCAGCAAAATGGGGTGTAAAGCGAGACGCGTTGCATCTACATATAAACAAGTCTACTTACTATTAGGGTCGTGGACCCTTGTAGGATTGCACAATAATAATTTGGCCAACCTTCCGCTTCAATGATTATCACTAGCCAACCGTCAATGATTAAAGCTAGGCCACCTTGTTGTAAAAATACTTGATACGTGTTGGCCATCTATTTTTGGAGCCCATAATGAAATGCCTACGTATTTGAAGTTTTCCAGGACGTTTCGTCCTCTCCAAAGCTGTGATCGTCTTGCAGCGCACCCCCTGGTTTCCTAGTCATGCATACTGCTTTCCGGAAATAGCGCTATGTGGCCATGCTCTCTATTCGTAGCACTGTACCTAAATGGTAAGCATCCCCATCACAATCTTCTGCTTGTGTCATCACGGAGTGTCTTTTTTCCGCTGTACTAAGTAAAATAGATATCATTATCATCATCCTATTTTCTAACATGGCTAATAACATAGCTATGAGCATGTTGGAGGACAGTTTCTGCGTTATTCTGAACATCTGGGGTACTACAATTGTGGATGAAATATGTTCTGCTGATCTCTTATTCCAACTCCCCTTTTCGTATTGGGTTAGAGGCATTAGTTAAGTTTCTTATCCGATAAAATGGGATAGTACTCCTTCTTTCCTTCAGGTTTGACTCGCTATGAATCGGCCTCCATCCTCTACGTCGCTGCGTTTGCGAATAATTAAAGGTAGAAGAACAACGTATAAGGTAGAAGAACAACGTATACGTCGATCATTGTGGACGACAGAGCGCATGAGACAATCAACGAGTCTAACAGTCTCTCATAGTTCTCTCATCCAAGATGCTACCTGCCTTGTGACACACCTCAATGGGTACGAAACAATGGTTTTTTGATTTGAGATTCGCCGATAACAATTCACGGAATATGCCATTTTGGATTCGGATTTGCCCTGCTTGGGTGTAGCTTTTCGACATCAAGATCTACAATCTACAATCTACAATACTTCACTTAGATTTAACCCACTTACATAGTACTAACAAGCCTACAAGCAGTTAGCTTGATTCGGCCCTTTCACTCCATCGGCAGGCGGGCGGGCGGACTCGAGAACTTTGTGGCTCGAGAAATATTGTTTCTTCCCGCATCACTCGGACGTGTTTTCCTCAGTCTTCCACCTCACATAACGCGTCTCACATCATGCCTCAAATTGACGTGTCGTCTTTACCGCTGGATTAATTCCAAACTCAGACAAAGGTTGTGTACTCAACATGTACAGTCGAATATATAGACATACACAAATCAAGCAAGTACCACGAGCAATTCAGGAAACGACGATAGGCGCCGCGGCGCTTGAGGTGAATCGGCGAGAATCATCCGCATATCCCGGATATCCAGGCGGCGGTTCGTCCAGCTGAGCCTGCAGTCGCTCAATCTCCGCTCTCATCGCCTGGTTCTGCTGCAAAATCTCCGACACATTCGAATCCCCAAAGCGACTCAACCCACTCGCCGAACCCCCCGGCGCACCGGCATCTATGTCTTTCTGCATACTTCTACTTTGACTTTGGTCGGTGACCACACTCTGGCCCTGCGCGCCGCCCACGTCCGGACTCGAGTCTGAGTCTGTGTTCGCTGAAGGGGAATGATGGCGATCCCGCTGCTTTCGCATAGGTGTGGAAGATGGTATTCTCCCATCTGTGCCTCTGGCGTCGACGTCTCGGTTGCGGGGCGAAGACGGCATGAAAGGTACCAAAACGGGATAGCGGGGTTTGGAATCGGGAGGTGTGGACGCATGATGTGTGTGCGCGCGTCTTCTGCGACGGCGATAGCATAGGAGAACGAGGAGGAGGAGTAGGATGAAAATCGCGATGCCACCTACGACGCCTCCGGCGATTGCTCCTGTGGGAGTATTGTGTGCTGTATCATTGTCGGTGACGCTATGGGCGCTTGGTGGGGCGTTAGTACTGCTTGGCGAAGATGGAGTAGCCAAAATCGTTCCAGTAGTCGTGATCCCAGTTAATCCTGGTGTCTCTGATGTGCTCCCTGTGATGGGAACGCTGCGTGATGAAGCGTGCGACGAGGAGACCGCGGCCGAAGATGAGGGCGTCGGAGTCTTGGATGAGGCCAAAAAACCATTAGAACTCGCCACAACTGAGATAGTAGAGATAATCTCAGTTGATGTACTAGAAATTACAGTCACTTGAGTAGGAGAATTTGCAGCTGGTGTTGTGCTGGGTTGTGTGGTAGTGGTAGCTATGCCATCATCAACTCTGCAGAAATGGTGACTTTTATCACTTGGATGATAAGAGAATACATACTCACTGATAGATCGCATAATCAAAACTGGTGAAAAGGTTCCGATTGATTCCGGAAGTTGATATAAGTAGTGTGTGGCTTTTGTTGGGAAGGTCGGTTACGGAAAACACA